ATTTGATGGATTCATGCATAATAATGGTTTCACTCGATGTGAGTTGGACCATTGCTGTAATATCAAAAATCTTGATGAATCCTCTATCATTTTACTGTTGTACTTGTACGTTGATGATATGCTAATTATAGAATCTAGTATAAATGAGATCAACAGGGTTAATCAACAACTGGCGGAGGATTTGAAATGAAAGATTTAGGATCAACTAAGCAAATGCTTGGGATGAGGATTAGTAGAAACAAGTCTGAAGGAACTTTAAAGTTGTCTCAAGAAAAATACATACATAAGGTAATAAGCAGGTTCAGTCTACATAATACAAAGACAAGAAGCACTCCACCCGGAAGCCATCTTAATCTGTCAATGGACCAATCACCTAATACAAATAAAGAAAGGAAGTACATGTCTAAAGATATGTATGCTTCAGCAGTTGGATATTTGATGTACGCTATAGTTTGTACTAAACCTGACATAGCCCATGCAGTTGGAGTTGTCAGTAGATACAGGTCAGATCCAAGAAAGGAACATTGGAAAGGTGTAAAATGGATATTGCAATATCTCAAAGGCACCTCAGGTATGACACTTTATTTTAAAAAGAGCAATATTATCTTACAAGATTTTGCTGATGCAAATCTAGGCGGCGATCTCAGGCTTTGAGACTTCAGAAAAGTGTCACAGGCTTTGAGAGAAAAGTGTTGCTCTATCTACCACTGAAGCAGAGTACATGGCAATATCAGAAGATGGAAAGAAGATGATTTGGCTCAAGAACTTTCTTAACGAGCTAGGTAAAGAGTAGGACATGTGAGCTTTTCAGCGAAATAGCTAGAGTGCAATTCATCTTGCCAAGAATCTAGTATTTCATGCAAGATCGAAGCATATCCAGTTGAGGTATCATCGTATCTGAGAGTTGATAAGTGAAGGAACTCTTTCCCTGCAGAAGATATCAGGATCAAAGAACCCGTCAGACATATTGACCAAAGTTGTCGGTGTTGACAAACTGAGGTTGTGCACTGCCTCAATTAGCCTTCAAGATTGATAATGTGAAGGCGTCATCAGAGAATAGCAATTTTGTTTTCAATTTTTTTTTCTTGATGTATATGGGTTTNTTAAAGAGCTAGGTAAGGAGTATGATAATTGTGAGCTTTTCGGCAATAGCCAGAGAGCAATTCATCTTGCCAAGAATCTAGTGTTTCATGCAAGATCGAAGCACATTCAACTAAGGTATCATCATATCTAAGAGTTGATAAATGATAGAACTCTTTCCCTGCAGAAGATACCAGCATCGAAGAACCCGTCAGACATGTTGACTAAAGTTGTCGGTGTTAACAAACTGAGGTTGTGCACTGCCTCAGTTAGCCTTCAAGATTGATAATGTAAAGGCGCCACCACAGAATAGCAATTTTTTTTTAAAATTTTCTTTCTTGATATATATGGGTTTGAGGGAGAGATTGATGGGACAAACCCATGTGGATAAATGAAAAGTCAAAGAAAAATAAATAAAGATAAGAAAGTAAGAGACATAAAGAAAGAAGGGTAAGAAAACTTTGGCTGCCAAGATATGAAAGAGAGAATTCGGCGTGCAGTTTGCGATATCGTCCTGTTCGTATTCACATTCACTGAAATTTTTTTCAGCAGATGTTATACCTATAAATAGGCATCCCCTTCTTCAGTTTTAAACCATCACTCAACTTCTTCTTTCTCTTCAATTAATAAAGAGTTATTCTTTGTGCGACCGTGGAGTAGGCAAAAATTATCGAACCGCGTAAATCTTGTCTTGTCTTGTGCAATTTATTGCTTTTCTCTTTAAATATATTTTTCCTTTCTATTAGCCTGACATGTTTCCCAACAAAGCAGGCATTAGTGGTTGTTTTCACATGTTGAACCCGTGATCTATAGGTCACACATAGATAACTTTGCCGTTACTCGAAAGCTCTCCTTACTTGACTCAATATAATCAATTATTATAAGTGCATTGTCCTTCTTTAGCTAATAAATGAAGCATCAATATCAGACATAAACAATTATAACAATTTTAAAAATTCTTTAAACCCCACTTATTGTTGGTGATGGTGGTTCTTCTCAGATTTTAGATAAATTTGTTACATTTTCTATATATTTTTTCATATTCACCTGCCAGCTTTTAGGACCTCCTTGGATTTTTATTTTTTTTAATATTTTCTTTGTCCTCTTTTTCTCTTTGTTTTCGGTTTCGGGAGCCGCGGAATCAATGTATGTAGGCGTAATCGGGGTGGGATCACAAACCTTTAATGAATTAATATACCAATTTGATATCAATATATTGCACATACTATCATCAAAGGGCGTGATAAGATAGTTGAAATCGTTTAATCTTTAACCAGATATTTCGAGATGTCATGAAAATAAAAAATCTATTGGTAGCGAACGTTTTATCCCACCCCACTTAATTAATCTACTTAGAGTGTATCTGAATTAATCAAACCCGTAAATGTTAGGTATCTAATGCCTGCAAGGAAGATGGCACACACTGCAACAAAGGATTTTTCAGTAGTTTATGAGGTTGTCTTTAATAAGCATTTATTTGTTAAGTAAAGCAGCAACCTGTGCTTTATGTACAGCAAAAGGATTTGAATATTTGAATAATGATAACATGATCAAAGAAAGACTTCGATTATTGTGAATTGTAATCTTAAACTGATCTCTTCGTTTGAATGTTGTACTCCACATGTGCCCCTACCTTATCTTTGTGCACTTTGTACAAAGGAGCAAAGAATAAAGAAATGAATAACAAAGCCAAGAAACTAGGGGACTAATGATAGCTTATTGTTTTTTAAAAAAGAAAACCTCTAGATGATTTCTCATAATTAAGTTGTAACTGTATCATGTATCACCAACCCCCTTCCTTGTTTTTCCCTTTTGGCGTTTAACCTTCTCTAATAAACTCTTTAACAAGCTCTTAAAAGCATTATCTTATTTACCAAATATTTTATTTATGCAATGTATTCTTTTTCTAGAGAAGGGGAGATATGATCAAGAGGTTACAGGTCGAGCCGTGAAAACACACTCTTACAGAAATGTAGGATAAGGTTACGTATAATATATATTATGATATGACTCTTTTTCGGATTCCATATATAACGAAAACTTAATGCAACGGACAATACTTTAGTGTATTCTTTCAAGATCCTATTTCTCGAACTTAAAGATTTACATTAATGAAAAGATAAAACTAAATTTTGCAGCCGCATCACTTGTCAGTCTGCAGGCAAGAAAATTTGATTTTACTTTTGAGGACTTCTATGATTAAAAAATAACACAGTTCAATTTATTGGGATTCTCATGTTACTTTGATTTAATCCACACGAAAGATACACACCATTACCAATGATTGACACATATACTAACATTTATGCCGAAATTTCACATAGTAAAGCACTGGCTCGTTCACTTTTACTTTAACGCGTTTTAATTTTTCACGCCCCTTAAAAAATAATAGATGAAGTGTATAATTTATTATGATACCCATATTAATTGATGCATATTTTATTAAATTTAAAAAATGATTAGAAATAAGTAATAAATATTCTGAGTATAATAAAAAAAATTATTTTCTCTTAATATACGTAAAGTAACAAATAAAAATAAAAATCTATTTTTAGTCTAAAGTCTTAAACTTTGCCAGGAAAATATATTAACCAAGTTGCCAGGAAAAGAAACTAAAGCTTTAAACTTTGTCTAAAAGCAGTCAAGAAAAGAAGGAAATTGAAAAGAAAAGCATCAAACATTTTCAATGATGACCATGGTTCAATTTCCCACAAGAGGACAAACATAGACACCTATTGCACACTTTTTACACAAACATAAAATCTAAAGTAAGATTTAAATGTTATTCTCACATGTTTGGAAGCAACAGAAGCCTATCAAATAATTTTTCTATGGACAATAGTAACATGACCAAATTTTTACTTGTTCGCTGTATTACAAATATATATATTTTTTTACTTGTTTAAATTTGAAAAATCAATGAATATTTACCATCTTATACCTATTTTACCCTTATCATTTCCAATATTTTGGACTTATACTCCCTCCGTATATTTTTACTTATCTACTTTGGACTTTTCACGCCCCTTAAGAAATAATAATTGTAGTATATATTTTACCATATAATCCCTGATAATGATAGCATTTGAAAAAATCTTGAGAAACAATTTAAAAAATGAGTAATTAATTATAAGGGTAAAACAAGAAAAAAAAATTGTCTTTCTCTTGATTTCCTAAAATAGACAAGTAAAAGTGAATGTATTTTTAGTATAATAAAAAAGTAAAAGTGAACAGAAGGAGTAATAGTCAAAGTTAGTTTTTCAATATAATAATTAAGGGTGATATATTAAAACTTTCATGTTATTTAATAGTCAAAGTTAGCTTTTCAATATAATAATTAAGGGTGATATATTAAAGCTTTCATGTTATTTATTATTTCTTAAAGGGTATGACAAATCAATAGTGAACAAGTAAATTTGGACCGATGGAATATACAGTATCATTTGTTAGTAATGTTGACAAGATTCAAGAATTCAACTTGGCCCTACCAAACAGCAATGTGAGAAAAGAAAGTAGTAGCATAATGTCAACTTTTGATGAAAAACAAATTAATGAAACCAAAGGATATGGCATCAACAGAGGATTAGAGAACAAAAACAATGAGCAGAGGACACTACTAAAGCATTCATACAAGCTGATAAGTGGGGGGAAGGAGGGTTATTTATCCTGCATTTTTCTTATTTGATCATGTTGCAAACCATTCAATTAAGGATATAACTTATTTATGAATATTTCTACAATTAGTATATTTTAACTTTTTCGTGTAACTTGCCTCATTTTTCATGTTACTAGTCCGACTTTTATGGACGATTATCACTAAATTGATTTAGTGTAATTTTTTTTTAAATTGTGTATAAAAGCTAAACTCTTAAATTGAAATGGGAAGTATATTTTGGTAATAGCAATAATACAATGTTCCATACCACCCAAAAGAGAAAAAATACAGTATACCATTAACCATATACCATTCTCTAACCACATTTTCTTCAAAACAAGAAGGAAAAAAAGGGGGAAAATACTAAAACTTTGGACATGGCTAGACCTCCATGTCTTTGGAAGTTAGATCAAGAAAGGATTATAGTTCAGTTTAACTCTCTTAAAGAAAAGAGAAAAGCAAAACTAAGTCATTGGAAATTGGGATCTTCCATTGGCTACTTAGACTCTAAGCAAGTAGAAACTAAGTTCAGGAGCTCCATTTCTATCAGGATTCATCATATAAAATGCCTCTGAATCTCTAGAGCCAACAACTCTCTCAAACTTGGCCCTCATATACATAATATCACCAGAGTCAGCAACCCCATTTTCATTCCCTGGCAAAACACCAGCACCAGTTGAAATTGGCTCCACAACTTTAAGTATCTGCAATTCTTTCGGCCCACATTCCCGTCTTGTCGCATAACCACACTTCTTTCCATTACAGTAAGTTTTCCATTTAGGCTCATCTATCAATTTTCCCACCTTCTTTTCTTCCTCCTTGTCACATTCCAATGCTATTCTAACTAGGCCTGATGCCATTTCTTGGACTAATACAGTTATAGGAGTGGCAAGCTCAATCAAGAAAGCTGGTTGTGAATTGGGATCTTTCTGAAATGCAAAATGTACGTATCCACGCTTGTGGCCGAAAAGGGTGCCTACAACTCTTGTTCCAAGTCCTTGTTGGAAGTGTATCCTGTTTCTGCCAATTGCTATAAGGACAGACTTTAGCCTGGCCACTGTTATAGTTTGCAGTTTCCTTCTTGTTGTTGTAACTGATGCTGATGAAGTTGCTGTAGCTGATTCTTGATTTAAATTCTTGTCATCTGTCTTGTTGTCATGGATAGTGTTTAAAGAAGAAGACTTGGAGTTGGTCCTTGACACTTCAGGGGTTACTTTTGAAGTTATGTTTTTGTTTGAAGAGGGATTTAGGGATGGATATTCTTCTACTTCTGCTTCTTCATTACTGATTTTGGCTGTCCAGTGAAACTGCCTCTTGGAAGACAGGTCTTGAAAACGCTTAGCCATATTTGACTTCATCTAAAAAGGGGGGGAAAAACCAGGCTGCACCTTTGAAGTGTTCTTGTGTAGGAGAGTGAGAGCTGATAAAGTGTAGAGCTTCTGTTTTGTTGTTTTGAAGGGATTTTTACTTTCTTTTCTTAATGTTTTGCTTCTACTATGTTAGATATACGAATCTGATAAAGGGAAAGCATAGCTACCCCACCAACTTTGATGGGAATTAGAATGAAATACAGGGCTATAAGGTGGTGGTGGGGAANTTTGTACATAAAGAAAGGAATCTCAGGGAGACACAGGATATGTTATTTCACTTTCTTTTGTGGTACGGTGCAAAAAGAATAACTTGACTGGCTCTTTTTTGACTTGAACAGTTTATTTTTCTCTTCAGAGAATGATCTAAATTTTATGCGACAATGTAAAGATTTTTTGATATCAATGTAATTTAAACCCCAAGGGGTCGTTTGGTATAACGAATAAGCAAAATAATCCTGAAATAAAAAATTTAGTACTTCCCTATTCCCTGTTTGGTTACTAATCCTGGGATAAGTTATCACAGGATTAAAAATAGCATCGGAATAACTTATACATGCCAGAGGGTGGAATAGTAATCCCACGATAAATTATCCCTGAATAAAGCAATAAAATTGACAATCCCAAAATTAATACAACATACCAAACAGTCAATAAAAAATATTGTAATACCAAGATAAATAATTCTAACATAACTAATCTCAACATAACTTTTCTTTTTCTTCAAACTAAAAGACCCTAGTAGTAGGTTACTTACCAATTTTATTAGTTTAGGATTTAGTGTTTTGTCTTAGAGATATACAAGTATTTACGTCATAATCGACATGACCATCAATGTATAGGAACTTCAAGGCTTTTTGAAAAATGAGCAAGTGGTCAACGAAATCAGAGGAAGAGAACCAAGGATCAGTCACTGTTTACAGTAGAAATCCTCCCAACACAATGTTCTGTCTCATGTTTGCGCTTGTGATAAACCTGCATCCACACCCAAAGGACAACCAGAGATGATGTTAGGTTCAGCTCGAGCAAACATAATGCTACTAATCAAGAACCTGCAACACTGATATAAAGCTGAAGTTGGCTTATAGGATTTAATGTTTCCTTATCCTCTTTTACTGAGCTGTAAAATTCACTGCACAATAACAGCCGTCAAAAACTGATTTTAGGGCTAAATCAAACAGATTGGGAGGTGTATTCTCTTTTCTCAATACTGAATGGGATCAGTAATTCAACAATGACCAATTAAATAACCATCACATTCACCATTCTCTCCCACAACTTGACAACTTAGTTTTATTTGGGCGGAATTGGAAAATACACACCCCAAAGAAATTGACCACATTTGCTCCTTGGGGCAGTGGCTGAGGAATGTCGATCATTCTGCTCATTAATTACACACAATATATGGAGACAAGTACAAATTGAAGGAGAGTTCACATAAGTAGCACATGGGACAGGAGCTTTTTGTACATAAAGAAAAGAGAAACCACTTGCCTACAGAACTAAAAAAGAAGTCCTAAAATTAGCTAGTCAAGTTTTGGTCCGCTTCTGAATCAGGCTGTTTCGAGGGAATGGTAACACCGCCATTCATCTCTGCATGTGCCTCAGCAAACATCCTCTGCTGCTCAGCTAGTGCTTCTGAATCAGGCTGTTTTGCGGGAACTGTAGCACTGCCATTCATCCTTGCACGTGCCTCAGCAAACATCCTCTGCTGCTCAGCTAGTGCTTCTGAATCAGGCTGTTTTGCGGGAACTGTAGCACTGCCATTCATCCTTGCACGTGCCTCAGCAAACATCCTCTGTTGCTCAGCTAGTGCTTCTTCTTCGGTCATCGCAGCAACATTGCTGCACCTCCCTGATCTAACCGTGTCCTGTGGTTGAAAATACACCAGAAGGCAACGCAATTATCAGACTCTTCGCTTTTCGAAAAGCTACTTTACTTGGAAAAACTACATGCATGGGTTCATGGAGTGAGGGTGAGAATGAGACTGATTTGGGGAGGAAAAAGATGAAAAAGATAACACTAAGATGACGGCTCCATGGAAATGAAAAGAGTCAGTGGCTCAATAGATGGATAAGTCTACTTTTTTTTGGTCCGTAGATAAATCTAGCTATTCAACAGGAAGTCATTGAAGCATCCTACATAACAGGTCAAACTAATGCAAGAAGATATAGAAATGAGCAGTTACCATGGTCTCTAGCCTGTGTTGTTCGTATGCAGCATAAACTTCTTCAATATATTCCCCAAAGCCAAGAACCTGAGAAATCATTAATTAATATAAGTTGTGAATGCGTATGTCAATTGCAAATAATTATCAGCATGTTATGATTAGCAAATCAGGTCATTAATTATCACTCTCATTGTAAAGATACCATAAAAGCTTTCATATGCTTATGATTAAGAGGTAACCTATAAAGATACAAATTGATCAAACACTCTTGTTTGGTCACGAAAATAACTGTAAGAATACTGAACAACATAAAACTGGTTCAGTTGATCTTCATAATGATTTTTTTTTTTTTTGGGATAAGGTGGTGAATATTTGTTCCTTGAGACCTATATAAAATAAAAAAAGATTTCACCATAAATGTGGACATCAGTCTAAATCATGAAAAACCATTTGCATCCGATCATATATCAGGCCCAATATAACCTCAGACGAAAACTTGAAGGCGAGAACAAAATTTACAGTTGGTGTCCTTCCCACTCTACTCTCACCTCAAAGTTAAACTAAGTTTCAAATGGCTTATATCTCCTCAAAGTAAACTCATATATAGCACAGTTTCAAAGTGATATGCCGCAGAAAATTGCAAAGCAAAATCAACATAAAGAAGATGAACATAAAAGATGAACTGCAAGATCAAGTCTAGTACCTCCAAAGCCTTGAGTACATGTTCTGGTGCAATTGTTCGTCTCTCTTCTCTATTACAAACTTCATTTGATTCTGATGAGATAAGATTAATGAACTCTGCAGAAGATCAGAGAGTACCAAAAATTAATGCAAATCAAAAAGAGAACCCCAGTACAACGATGCTTCATATACTAATTGAATCAATTATTTTGTTATCTAATCGTGGTATGTGAATAGATAACACTCAATTATCTGTTTTTCTTTTCTTTTGACTGTTAGATAACATTCAACTATCTATAGAGAGATGAACAGGAAGGAGAAGGGACCTCAATCCTGTTCAAGCAGTAGAGACATGTTATCACGAATTCTCTTAGAATAAGCTTGAAATGTGTTAATTTATCAGCTTATTTTAATATATTAACCTACATAATGTCTTAAACATGTTTTATGCTCATTAGTCACTACCATGCACTTGTACCATACTCTTCTTAGTTCTTACTACAACTCACCATAAATTATTTGACTTGACAGCTTTTAGACTCACTTTCCCTTTAGATCCATAATCCTCCACGGGAAATAGTAATTCTAGTCATGTTACATATTCCCTTAAAATTTATACAGAAAATCAGCTGCTATTATAAGCAAACACCACTAACAATAGCAATGACATATCACCAAACTTAAAAACTGAACCCAGAAACTAAATCAACTCACCTACACAACATTCAATCAAAAGATCCTGAGTATCTCGAGCAACACGGACATCTGGGGGCAACATCTCCTTAATAATTTTTGTCATAGTTGCTGAAAAGAAATAACAGCAGTATCAGATAGCCAAACAATATATCAATTATAGAAGTAAAGCAACAACCAAACACATTGAGACCTCCTTAAATAATGAACTTCTGCCAAAAACTAAATGAGCTTCAGAGTATAAGGCGAACCCAGAGGCAACAATAATTCCTATAATACCATTGTTCTCAATTGAGATCATCAATCTCATCAGCCTAACACAATTAGCATACTGTACCACAAAAATAGAGAGAGAGAGAGAGAGAGAGAGAGAGAGAGAGAGAGAGAGAGAGAGAGAGAGAGAGACGAGTTAACAAAATATATATCAACTTTTGAAAAGTCAAAAGGTGCTAGCTTGACACCCTCTGATTCACTCATCTTCTGACGCTTATATCTTTTTATCCAGATATCGTATGAATGAAATGTTAAGAGCATTGGAAACTACATTCTAANTTTCACATCATATAATAAGAAAAACCTAGAGAAATTGAAGCATACAAGAACCAATACGTTATCAAACTGATCTAATACTTTAGAAAGTGTTCACTGCTCAACCCAATTTCTCAACTCTATATTCAACTACGACACAGAAATCCAAACCACTGGAGACACTTTATACAATGTTTAGCAACCATTCATCTGAGAAAATTTTCTCCAACAACCTTTGGAAAAACAAGGCAAACCCTCTATTCCAGCTACAACACTCTGTCCACATATGTAGAAGGACTGATCACCCAATGTTCTAATATCTCAATAGTGCTAATATTATCCTAAGAGAAATACAGAAAGTTCCAGCTATTATAGAATTCTTCTAACCTAATACTTCTAACTTTTAGTCAAAAGGGAACTCAATAAATTTCGTACAAACAAATCTGAGGCAAAGCAGTGACATCAACATGCATGTGCTGTTCCAAATTTATAGCATTTACTTGCCACCGTAGTTCACGGAGAGGCCTACACATGTCAACTACTTCAGTCATTGCAAGTCAATGCGTGCTCCATAAATTGTATTAAATGCATCTCTTAGATTTCAGAAGAAAACCTCCCCTCCCTGAATCATAAAAGTCGCAAAGGCATGCAACTAAATTGGCATAACCTAATACCTTCCAAACAAGCACTTAATCATCAACCTTTGCGCGATTACATCATATTCATCCACTCAAAAGCTCTTCAATTACAAACTATGCCAAATTCCAAACTAGTCTGTGCACAGCTATACGAGTCCCGAATATACATTCCACTCCATTCGGAGCCGTTCCATTCCAATACTCAATAATTGTCCTTTCTTCAAGTTAGGTATACAAAAGTGAAAGAGAAACTTTGGGGTGGGGCCTAGTGGTCAATAAAGTCGGTGGAAAACCATGAGGTCTCAGGTTCAAATTATAGCAATAATAAAAAAATACTAGGCGATTTCTTTCCATTTGTCCAAGCTTTGGTGGACACAGTTACACAATACCAGTGCTGGTAGGAAGTGGCAGGTATATTTAGTAGCTTAATCGAGGCGCAAAGATGCAAAAACAAAATAGAACATGGAATTTAGGGAGAAGAGAAGAAAGTAACCTTTTGGAAGCGAAGCATCCTCCTTATTTTTACCAACGATGTCCATAGGCTCCATATTAACCCTAAAAAAACCAAACACAAAATCTCAAATACAATATACATAATACAAATACGAAAAAAATTGCTTATACGAATCGAAGAGGAAAGATCTAGAGCTATAGAGTGAACTAAACTCACCTTACGAATTAGAAAACCGCGAGTGGCGGATCGGATAAAGGATGACGATTTTATAGAGAATAGAGCCGCAGCTCCGCCGATTGGAAAATAAATGAATGAGATCGAAGGAGGTGATCGGAATCGTAAACGGCGGTTCATGATGCTGGATATAGATAAGGAAAGGGAGAGAGGAGTTTCGCAGATGACTAGGGCAATTTTTTTCTGAATTCAACGGCGGATAGTCTGAAGCACGAATGAGGGAGGTGTGGTTCAGAATGACGTGGGTCCCATAAGGTCTGAGTGATGATTGGGACGTGGCTTGCACGTAAGAAATGGGCGCGTGAGAGGGTCGGGGATGATAAATATGATTCATTTGCTTATATAGTTTCTTCTGGAGAAAGTGGAGAAAAGGTGTGGCAAAGAGATTTGCGGACTCTGTTGTGATCTTCCAATTGAGGCCTAACACATATTCCCCAATATGGTATTCTATATACTATCATGAGAATAAGCTCTTTTTTATTCCTAACTTCTTTTAATTAAGTGTGTTATAAAATAAAAGTAACTTAGTAAAACATGAACAAGAAATTGAGATAGAGAGAAGGAAGAGATTTTCTTCTTCAATTGTGTGTATTTTCCTATCAATTACAAGACTTTTATATAGGCATGAAAAATAAAGAAAAATATGTCATTGAATATGTCATTAAGCATTTGAGAAGATCATGGAGGAAAAGTAGACATCCACCATAATTTGATTTTTCTTATAACAAAGTGGTCATTGTTAAGTATTTCTTCATTTTCAAAGTTCAGATTCTAGATCTTGTTTGGGCTATTTATAATATTGTATCGTATTGTTACTTAAAGTATAATATTTGTTTCGATTGTTACTTAAATTTTATTATATCATATTGTTACATCCGTCGTTACGTGACAACGAAAAGTGTGACCGATTTGGTATGGTCGCGTCGTTACCTTATTTTGTTCTCTCATTTTGCCCTTCCTTATTATTAAATAATTTTATTTTATCTGTTACTTTACTTTTTCATATAATAATTCTACCTTGTACCTTACTTTTTTATAATATTATAAGTTTATTCTTCATATTGTTGGTGCATGACATCAAACGATGGCAAACAATACAATCTACCCAATTATTATATACAGTCAGACCTCTCTATAACAACATCCCTATATAATAACACTTCACTATAAAAGCCAAGTTTTTTCGGAACTAATTTTCATGTTATGTTATAATATATGTTCTCTATAACAGTACTTCGCTATAACATCTAAAAATATTCGGAACAAACAAGGTTGTTATAGAGAAGTTTGACTGTACATCAAAATGACACAGTACAATACAATACAATACAATACATTATGAAACAATACACAACAACCATCCAAACAAGCCATTAGTTAAGGATAAAGAAATCTCGTCAATCCCACCGTAACTCCAATGCTATACCTAACATATCAGGACTTGAAACCGTAAAATTATGAAATTAAGCTTTAAGTAATATTGTGTCTCTTTTATTCTTTTTCAAAGTAATATTGTGTCATTACTGTCTAGTTAGACATTTTTTATTATCCTATTAATGATATTGTATACGATCGAAATTGATTTCGGTTTTCGTACGATTGATCGAGATGGGATCATAATGGACCAAAGGAAGACTTCGTAATATCGAGATGGGCTCCGAAGATGGTACGAACGAGCTTCAGATTTCAGGTATAGGTCAAACACCGAGTTTGAAGTCATTATCGAGCTCGGGTACGAATCGAACTATGATGAGATATTGTGGAATCGAGCTTAAGGGGCAGAGGCCAACCGATACCAAGCCCGAATCATCACCTGATCCCGAGTCGGCATCGAGCTCAAGTCTGCATCGAGCTCTAAAAACAATATCGACCAGCACCGGTGCCGATCGAGCTCGAGCTCACAGACAAGAGCCGTTGCAAACGCACTAAGGGAGAGAATCTCGGCGAAAATTGAAAAAAAGTTGATTTATCATGGGTTACCCACTATGTATTTTTAATTATATCTAAAGTATGATCCTCCACTATAAAGAGGATGGCTACATTTCTGTAAAGCACAGCTTTTTGCTTACATTGTAACTCAAACACCATACACTCCTATATTGAATAGTTGTTCTTTTAAGCTTCATAGATTTATTCACCTTGCTTAGTCCTAAAAATCATCTTCTTTCCAACCTTGTTTATTTTGCATTCTTTGCAATCCGTATTTGATATTTCTATTTATCTTTACGATTTGTATTAAGCTATATCATATATCCTTAGAACTATGTATAAATTCAACTCTATCTGTTTTTTGGGTAAACAGTTTGGCGCCCACCGTGGGGCTAAGGATAACATTGGTTATTTGATATGAATCTGCAAACACACGCCATTTTACGCCTGTCTTTTGAAAGTGTCTTTGGCTTCGGATTAGCAATGGCAAACTCTCAATTAATGGCTTTACCTATCGAAAACGAAGCTGGCCTTCAAGACGAAACCAACAACTTGATGCCCAGGGCCGGAAGGCCGCTTGTTGATGCCATGGAAGCTCGAGTCGGAACACCTGAAGCTCGGGTCGAAGTACCACCAAACGTTAATTCACATGTGGCCCTTGAAGCGAACCAACGTTCTGAACCTGAAAATAACGTTCATGGCGGTACTCGATCTGCGGCTCGAGACACCCATAACGTTGAGAAAAACGGAGTCAGCTTGCTTATGATTTTTGAAATGCTGCAAGCCCAACAGGTAGCAATAGCTCAGTTGCATAGCCAAACCCAGACACCCAACAGGCCAGAGCCCAATCCACCTCAAGAAATTGCCCACAGAACGGAGCCTGCCGTAGTAAAGTCAAATGAGCAAGAATCGGGGACTACTCCCGAAATTGCTAAGATACTCGAAGAGCTCACAAAGCGGATTGAAGCAAACGATAAAATAGTAGAAACATATAACTACAGGGTCGATCAGATCCCGAGGGCACCACCAATGATAAAAGGGTTGGATTCCAAAAAATTCGTGCAAAAGCCTTTTCTCTCGAGTGCAGCCCCAAAGCCAATTCAGAAAAAATTCTGTATGCCCGAGATTCCCAAATGTAACGTAACTACCGACCCCAATGAACACGTCACCTATTACACGTATTCCATCAAGGGTAAGGATTTAGAAGATGACGAAATCGAATTTGTATTGTTGAAAAAATTCGGAGAGACCCTCTCGAAGGGAGCAATGATTTGGTATCACAATCTGCCACCGAATTCCATCGACTCATTTGCCATGTTGGAAGATTCTTTCGTAAAGGCACACGCCAGTGCCATAAAAGTCGCAACAAGGAAATCAGACATTTTTAAAGTAAAACAAAGGGATAATGAAATGTTGAGGGAGTTCGTGTCCCGATTTCAAATGGAACACATGGAGTTGCCACCGGTCACAGACGATTGGGCCGTTCAAGCTTTCACCCAAGGGTTGAACGAGCGAAGTTCGATAGCATCACGTTGTCTGAAACAAAATTTGATCGCATATCCAGTTGTAACTTGGGCGGATGTGCACAATCAATATCAATCAAAAATCAGGGTCGAAGACGACCAATTAGGAGCTCCTTCCGGATCAGTACATCCAAACAGGTCAGTTATTAAAAATCAGAGGGACATCGACAGAGAGACAAGGTCGAACAGAGACCGATATCAACCATACACCATAAATCGAAGGAATAATGATTCGGGACGCAATTTCGCCCGGAACAATCGAAAGAGTGATCAAGGACAGAATTCTCGGGGACTTATGAGCAAAAGTGGTTTCGACAAATATGCCGATCCCTATAGAGGCATCTCGATTATCGGAATATAACTTTAACATCGATGCATCGGGCATTGTATCGGCAATCGGAAGGATCAAGGATACTAAGTGGCCCATACCCATGCAAACTGATCCCTCCCAAAGAAACCCAAATTCAATGTGCAAATATCATGGCACACATGGCCACAAGACCGAGGATTGCAGACAATTAAGGGAGGATGTAGCTCGTCTATTCAATGAGGGCCACCTTTGAGAGTTCCTCAGCGATCGAGCCAATAACCATTTCAGAGAGAGACGCCAACAGAAAAAATGAACAAGAGGAACCTCAACATATCATTCATATGATCATCGGTGGGGTCAACACTCCACAGAAACCCATACTCAAATGCTCAAAGATACCGATCACTAGAGAAAAACGAACCCGAGATTACGTGACCGAAGACACTTTATCATTCAACAGCAAAGAAGCCGAAGGCATCTCTCAGCCCCACAACGACGCTCTAGTAATTTCTATCTTATTAGATAAAGTTCAAGTTAAGCGTCTTTTAGTGGATCCAGGTAGCTTTGCGAATATTATCCGATCGAGGGTCGTGGAGAAACTCGGTCTGTAAAATAAAGTTGTGCCCGAAGCTCGGGTCTTAAACGCCTTCAACATGGCCAGTGAAATAACTAAATGGGAGATTATTCTACCGGTAAACGTGGCTGGGACTATCCAAAATACCAAGCTCCACGTAATCGAGGGTGACATAAGGTACAATCCCCTACTCGGAAGGCCTTGGATCCACAATATAAGGGCAGTACCTTCGACTCTTCACCAAGCAATAAAATTCCCGACGTCAGATGGTGTTAAAAAAATGTACAGAGAGCAGCATGCTGCGAGGGAAATGTTTGCTGTCGATGAGGTAACGCCGATGTGAACACTATCAACCTCGGAAAGGTCAAGCATCAAAGGTAAACGAGACGTTAAATAGCAATCACAGCCGCCAGCCTCGACCGAATCGGGGAAGCAGGAAATAGAAGAAGAGGAGGAGGATTTTCTGATCCCTCGATCTTTTATCATCCCCGAAGATTCTGACGCCACCAAATCGACGGTCGAAGAACTGGAATAGGTTATATTGATCGGGCATCTGCCTGAGAGAAAGGTATACCTGGGAACGAACGGGATTTACCCCCGAACTCAGGAAAAAACTTATTCAATTTCTTATCGATAACATAGATTGTTTTGCTTGGTCCCATTCAGACATGACAAGAATCCCACCGTCGATAACAACGCACCGGCTGAGCCTGGACCCTAAGTTCAAAGCGGTGAAGCAAAAGAGAAGACCCCAGTCCTAGGTAAAGCACGCATTCATAAAGGACGAGGTAACTAAACTTCTCAAAATAGGGTCCGTTCGGGAGGTAAAATATCCTAAATGGTTAGCCAATATAGTTGTAGTCCCTAAAAAAGGGAACAAACTTATAATGTGTATAGATTATAAGGATTTAAACAAGGCATGCCCCAAAGACTCTTTTCCGCTGCCCAACATCGATCACATGATCGATGCCACGACTGGCCATGAGGTCCTTACTTTTCTCGATGCCTATTCCGGGTATAATCAAATCCAAATGAACCCGGAAGACCAGGAAATGACTTCATTCGTCA